TCACTAAACATTTTATTAAAAACCATAGGAAAAATAATAAAAATAAAAGTAAAACAACTCAGCAAATGAACGGAACACAACGCGTGTGTGTCAACGGGCACCAGACAAACTGTTATGGGAGATACTATATTACTATCCTGAAGGCCGGTGTGAGAATCGGCAAATAAAAAGTTAAACCACTGTCAGTGATATACATACACGACGTTCTAAACGGGATTATTTTATATCAATAATATTAAGAAGCCATGTGGTACATTTAAACGTGAAGTGATTTTATGCTACAATATTTATACTTGATAAAGGATTAACTGTGTTAGTAACTGTTTATTAATTAAAATAATGTATAATTCTCATCAAGCTGATAACAGGATGAGCCCTTGTAAACCAGCCATACGCATCATCACACACATCAAGTCATTTGTATCATTTTTGTTTTTATATTGTTACCTGCTACCACATGTATTTATAGTACGTAGTATACTTGTATAGTTGTATTTAGATTGCAAATTAAAGTTTTATTTTAGACGATTAAAAAAAACAAAAATTACAGTAAAGAATTAAAAAATCACTAACTTAAATAAGTCGTTTTTTTGAAAGAAAAGGTACCAATACGACAATACCTCTTAATATTTGTTATTTACAATATTATATTATGATATTTAAATGTGACACCTACAATATTGCGTTAAATGGAAATTTATATTATATATTATTATGTGTGGTACTATTTATTACGTTTATCTATATCTTTATCTATAACTTGCCAAACTGAGTTTCGTTTTCATAGTACAGTGTTTTTTTATTATAGACCCTACCTAGATGATTTAAATAATTTAAGATTCAATAAGAAAAATTCGATTTATACACAATCAAAATTGTATGTATTTATACCTTCCTCAAAATAATCAAGCTTCTCAGTCCTTATTGAGCGTTTTTTTTTTAAATGTTATTCTCATCTATTTTATTTTTTGTTCGCAATATTTGACCTTAAAATGTGTCTGTACTAGTTCATGGGTATGATAACCTTAAGAAATGCAACCTTCTATACTCTCTCCGCTATATGTATTTAATACGTTTATATGTTTATCTATTACTTGCCAAATTGTGTTTCGTTTTCATTAGACAATTTTATGTGAAATAATATAAAAAATAGATATTTTCTAGTTTATTTTTTGTATAGGTAGTAGATAATTCGAGGAGAACCATGTTTTGTCGTTTTCATCTGACGCAACTACATTAAAACAGGAATATGTGAAAACCCCCGGCAGATAATTTAATTATACAAATAATAATTACCACAAAATATTTAAGTCATCTTATATACTTCCTGAAAGTTGAGGCAATATACAACATACGTGACTTGTTTAGATCACTTCGATCCAAATTAATAAAGCATTATTATTTTAATTTAATTTTACAATAAATAATGATTTGTTATATTTATTATTATTTATTTCATTAATTCATTGCAATTATAATATTAACGCTCAGTTCACCATAAATGTTCATAAAATAATTTCAGAATGTACTTCTCAATTATTTCTAATACTCGTAAAACAAAAATTCCTGGAAAATTAAAAAAAAATAACTTTCAAATTGCATTACCTCGAGTTTTATTTTAGATTCTTAGCGGAACGTATTGATTTTACACTGTTTTGTTCTGTGTCAACGGCTTTTGGAATGGTAAAAATGCTATAACTTTCAATTTTAATGATCGTGTCAGATAGCAAATTGGATATAAGTGGTAACTACATACACTTTTTATGAGTGATTTAAGTTCAAATTTTGTCGAAATTCACATGACACACATTACACGTAAAATAACGATCTTTCATCATACAATTTTTGTTATTCATCTGTGGTAGGTAATTAAAAAATTTAAATCATAGAACCTTGAAACATTTCACTATCACATCGAATTTAGTTTATTATTTTCCATACACAATAACATTTTCAAAATATTTGGACTAATTTTAAACTATTTAAAACTACACAATGCTTTTTACACCATTTCGTAGTATTGACTCTGTAAGTTAATAATAATAATAAACTTACATAATATTATGATAATAAATGAACTAATAATAAATATTAATAATTATATGCGATGTTTTTAAATTAAATATATTTCAACCTATATAGTGTATTGTGTATTACTATTATTATAGTACTTAATATTAGTATAATATTATTAAATATCCTTAGAAATAGAAGATGAACGATAGCATATCGATCCAGAATCGTTTTTTGTATACAGTGATTTATCATTGAATTTAAATATAACACTTTAATTACAGTTACATAGTCACTGGATTACAAAGTACACTCGATACGGATGAAAATAACAATTTTAGTCATTTTGTTTAAATCCAAAACATATTATTCGTTTGAACTAGAGACTTTTCGTAATTTAGTCTTATTTTTAACTATAGTAATATATATTGATTTTTAAGATAATAGTGTAATCCACTTGGTATAAGAAAAAGAAAATTAAAAAAATGCTTTAAAAATAAACACTTACAGACCGTCTCCGCTCAGAGTCGTTATTTTATACAATGACAGATCATTGAATTCTAATTTAACATTTTCACATTGAGTATTTTTATACTGACCTAAAACTAAAGTGTTTTCGTATATATTTCAATATGCATTTCGTATTTTCGCCTTTCGGGGTATTAGCCAGACAGGATATAGCAGTGACCGGGTATCGGGGCACTCAACTCGTTATATTATAAATAACATTGCAAATATAAAATGTTGATTTATGGTTTTATTAAACTTGCAACTTTACGATTTACGATTATCTTTCTGAATTTCCAACATTGAAGATGGTTACATGAAACGTTATATTATTTAAGTATAAAAAGAAAAGACTAAAAATACAATTTTAAAAAGTTCATCATCATAGATCCAAAACTAGATTTTTAACGTAATGATTACAAATGTCTCAATAAAATTATATATTTCAGATAGGATATTTGTGTTTTTAAGTACGCAAGTCACAAACATTGAAATGGATACTTCCTTATAACAAAATAAAAATATACATTTTACCTAGAATTTATAAAATAGAATTATATTGCTGAAACGGAGACAACATGTTCACGAATAGTGGCGCACATAGGGTTTTTGTTAACACATGTAGTAAACAAATATACCCACTATTTATTATTATATGGAATTAAAAAGTTCAAGCTGCGCTCGATAATTGTACAGCGTAGAATCTACACACATTACATTTACTTCAAATATTTTAAACTAAATCTTATTAAATATTGATTACCTAGCTGCTAAACGATAGACTTTGCCAGTTCTTCCTTTTTTATGGCTCGTATGTCTCCATACAATATATAATGAACTATAATCAATATGGTTTATACTATCTAATACATTTATATCATTGACCTTCTAACCTAGACCAAAATGGCGGTTATAAATAATTCCTGTGGGGAAGGGGAGCGAATTCCTCTCTTTTCCGAGATATTTTAAAAACACCTAGGCTAACATTTCACTAGCAGGCAGCAGCTATTCAAGTTAATTAAAAACAAACATTCTACTATCCAATGTTTCGAGAAATTATCAACAAACAACTATAATAGGTACCAATAACGTAAATGGTCTACAATGCTGACACCTTTCACGCTCTCAAGTCTCAGTGATTAAATACCTAAATAAATTAATAAACCATTATAGTCGACAGGAAAATTATTATTATTATTATTATTATTATTATATTATTATGATTTACATAAGCTTTATATGGGCTGTTATACCACGACCATACCACACAGTACACACCGGTAAAGTTACAGGACTTGGAAACCCGCCTGCGGATGCAACGTGCTCATGTGTATGTTTGTGAATGTGTTGGTAGAGCACATCGTGCATACATGCTGCATAATGCACATAGGCAAATAGTGTCTAAAACTTATATTATTGGTATCTAAATATTTTTAAAACTTTCTTTTTACGACACCATCACAGGAAATATCTAAATACCTAATATTTTACACCATATTATATCATGACTAAATACCTACATGTACTTTTTTAATTTTAGCGTTTAGGCAGAGGGCCTTAATTTGTTTTTAAATAAACCTTACATTTAAATAGTGTGGTTGTGGCGCGGAGTCCGGCTCCAATCACTAATATGGTCTGAGTGCCAGCACCGACCGATGCCAATAGTTAACGGATGGGTGACACATACACGTGTTCTAAACCAACCCATACCCCCCCCCCACCACCACCGCTGCAATAGGAACAGGATATACCATAAATAACAACAAAAAGTTGTTTTTTTTTTCAGGACAAGGGGTATCGAACGAAAGATAGAAACTATAGACTTACAAAAATAGAACTAAATAGAGTCAAATTTATACACAATTTTAAAATGATTTCAAACCGTTCCAATATGAATATTATATTGTACAAGTTATAAAATAAAATACCTAGGTAATCCATGTACCGAAAACGGGGACGTTTTTTTGTGATGATTGGAAATTCTCCATAAGTGATAAACCATCTTCATGCTACTTGTACATTTTGATCCATTTAAAATCGTTAACCGATGGACATCATCGAGCTACGTTATTTCATTTGATACTCAAGACACAAAAAAAAACACTACATTATAATGTCCTCGTTGATGAACGACTCAACGAGTATACAGCTGCAATACCTGTCATTACTGCTATAGTTATAGATACCTAACCTACCTACCATAACTGATATACACTTATAATACGTACAAGCTACTGTCCTATAATATGTATTCCTCTCGATGGTCTAACACCACGGGGTGTTAACTCGATCCACATTCTCGAAATTCCTAACATAATATTTAAGTATTGTGTATGCACGTCTGTCCATAGGATACATATAATACAACATGTCAACATATTATTATAATTATACGACGTTAACAGGTCCAGTGATAACTAAGGCGGGTTCTCCGACTTAATTGTATTATTTACCTGCAGATATCTACATTAATAACTCACCTAGGTCGTCCATTTTCGTCGCTTGTCTGCTCTCAAACCCAAATTACAGTGACGTCTCTCCAATACTACGGTCACGATACTATGATTACAGAAGGTGTACGCGTACAACTGTGAAGAACCGGACACATCGGCGTCGTCTGGTTAAGCGACGATATTGTTTTTGTGCATTTTTCGTCGAGAATGAAAACAATTGGAGAAGACGTGCGCGGTGACGAAATTACGACGGTTTTTTGTTTATGAAATTTCTTTTAGCACAGGTATTTCGTTTTTATCAGTCTCGGCGAGAAATCGTATTAATTATTAATATTAAACACTTCTACATGTAAGTAAACAGTAATCTCTTCGGCCCTGACGTCCGCCAATGTTTACGTACACGTTATCATGCTGTGGTTCGCACTATCAGTGTTGGCGGAAATGCGACGTTGCCGTTACGACAGTCTGGCAAGTCAGCGTACCGTTATCAGTTATCACGTCTGTTAACAAATCTCGCTTACGACACCCACGCACCCTCCCCGTCGCACACCCGACGCTTTCACCATAGTAGCATAGTCCCGTAGCGCCACCGCTGCCCGAGTCGCTCGCGTCAGACCCTTTCTCCCCTACGCTGCCCCGACAACATTCAACAGGCTATTTTTATCCCCCGTGCACATGCTCACGGCGAATATACATATATAATACCATAACAATATCATTATCAACTATTTTTATTATTATTATTATTGCCGCCGCCGCTGAAATTTTCGTCTTCGCTGCTGCACCAGCAGCACTGAGCACTTTGAACAGACCGCGACCAGACGATGCGGCCTGCTCCCTTCCTCCTCAACAACTGTTGTAGTACAAGCAGCCGTAACGGCATCATCGCTATCGTCAGCAGCGGCCGTGTCTTTACCAGTCGACGACCCTCGTTTTGATCCCGTCCGTGCCGACGAAAATAGTTTTTCGTGAGTGAGTAGAAGAGGAGAAATCTCGTCAGAAGCAACCCCCGCACGCCTTCAGTAACCCCCGCACGCTCCGTCGAGAAGTCCGACGAACACGCCGACTGACCTACACGCGCCGCGGGCGGAAGCTATAACGATGCCTCCGGACATTAGCGAGTGAGTACTCGACCAAATAATAACATATTATTATATTACTATAGTATTAACTGCCCATGCACGACGTGATCGTTTGTGCAGGGGGACTCGATTATCGATCGGACCCGTATCGTCGTCGTAATGATGAAATAATAACTTACTGTTTAATTATTGTTAAATAACCACCCCTATGATAGTCGTACGCGTGTGAGCGTCGACAAATTATTGTACAGTCGTGTCGTGCCGTCCATCATGCCGGGTGTTTGCAGCGATCCCAACTTTTTCGAGACCACCGTCGAGCCACTGCTTGCGGCCGGCCGCGAGAGCGACCTGTGCGAGTGGCTCAAGAAAAATGGACTGATTGCCAAGGAACAAAAGTGCCCGAACAATGAGTGTCTTACAACGGAAAAGATGCAGTGGCACCGCGCACGTGTGGTTGACAAATTCAACTGGGTGTGCCTGGAATGCAAGAAGAAGGTGCCGATTAGGAACACATCCTTCTTTGCCGACTTCAAATGCGAGCTGGGTTACGCTCTGAAAGTCATTGACGGTTAGTGGCAGTCGTTTGTTATTTGCCAAGTTGCACTGCCACAGTGTGTCTCAAACGCGCTTTGTACTTTTTTTTTCAGGTTGGTGTAAGAATATACCACTCAGTGATATCAGTGGTGAAGGCAGAACCAAAGTAAATGTGACCAAACGTATTTACAACGGATGCACTCAAGTGGCCGAGTGGCATTTGAAAAAGATTGTTGGTGACTTCAAACTGGGTGGCACTGATGTCGTAGTCATCGTAGATGTGTTTCCAGATGGCAATATGAGTTTGGAAGTACCAACCACGTCCCATAACAATAACTTTTCCAAAAGAGTGCTATGCATTGCCGATACAGCCCATGTTCCTGTTCGTGTGTGGGCAAGCCTTCTGGATGGATCTAATAAAGTAAAATATTATATTTTATATTTATTAAAGATATTTTTTAATTAATACTGTTCATTGGGTTTAGGAAAATTCTAAAATTGTTGAAATGGTTAAAAACCATGTAATGTTGGGCTCCACTATTGTAACAAATGAAATGTTATATCCATTGTTGCACAATTTACCTGGAATAGGAGAAGTCATAAGCACAGAAGCATTGATGAATTTGGACATAAACCATGATCACAAATCTTTAAAAAATTTAGGTGAGTAGGCTACATTGTAGGTAAACTTAATTTATTGACATTGCCTATGGATGGTTTTCTGTTATAGAAACTATTTGGGCTACCACTGTAGAAGCCTGTATCCAGTTACAAGACATGGCTACAACACATGCTGAACAGCATCTATATGAATTACAGTGGAGACAGATGTATGGATTTATAGCGTTTCCGTCCTTGATACAACAGATTGTTGAGTATACAGCTTACAATAACCCAATATGTCCACCTTTGCCTAGCATATGGCCAACAAATTAAATCAATTGATTAGTACAAATGTTAGCGTACTGCTAAACCCACCGCTTAATATTATATACATGGTATTTTTTGTCAATTATTGTATGACATTATGACTACTATTAAGTTTGGAGAAGTAATTTTATAAACCTTGTTCATAACCATTATTTTCACACATAACAATGCTCTTAATGATACCTGGACATAATTTTATTTTTAAATGAAACACTGATATGCCAAATAATAAGACTTCATAATATTAATAATATTTAAATCAACATAATAAAGATCTAACATATTTTTTTAAATTTTAACCAAAAATAATTAAAACACTGAAGAAACCTTAGATATTTTTTAATATTTTTTGCGTTCTGTGTACTAGCTTTAACTTTCTCATCCACGGCAACACCCAGTATATTATATATATTTTTAATTTATACTTATCAATTGAACGTCACATTTTATAATATTAATTGATCTAAAAAAATATGTTTTCCCCACCTTTGACTTATTTGTTCTTTTTAGTTTCACTGAAAGTATGACAACTATATTATTTAAAGTCCATTACTAAAACTAAAATTGAATAATCTACATCTTTTATATTTTGTTATCAGATTCATATCAATCGTCTTAAAATGTATTACATATACAATATTGGAATATTTTGGAGTATAAAAAGTATATTGGTACCTATATTAAATTGCCCAACTTAAAATAGTATATTAACTACACAATGTATCTTTTTTTTTTTTGTTTAATCATTCTTCAAAATTTTATAACTATTTTCTATTTGATTAGAAATTATTCGTTTTTAAATAATATAATTTTAATAGATATTAATGTAATTGATATTGTCAAAGACTGGTTTTCTAAACATAGTTTTACTTTGTTTTGTTTAAATAATATAGTGCCATTCTATAAGTTAAATAAATTAAGAAAGGTATATACAAAAGCAATAATCAATTAACTAATTTTTATAAATGTTAAAAAGTACAGGGTAATTCAGCTACAACCAAAATATAGTGTCTTTTTTACTATAAAATGTACAACTTAAGCTTACTTGTGATTACACACCAATTATGTTATCCCATAACATGGATTATGGACTTTAGGAATCAGGGTTAAAAATTTGATTATATGCATTCAATGTATACTTATGGTAGATAGTTACTCAATTTTTATTTTTTACATCACTTAACATTGTTAAAGTCTGTTATTCAGAATTAATGTAAATAATTTATAGAGATAGCTTAAAAATATTTAAAATTAATATGATAAAATATTGTTTAAGTTTATAATTGAATTTGTTTATATGAGTAATGCCTAACGCTATATAAGTTCTTCATGATGCATTTAACAGCACAAATATTATTAAATATTTTTATATAATATATATATATATATATATATAATTAATCAAATGTGGTTGTATTTTGTGTTAAATACAATTACAAAACCAGAAAATTATTATGTTTAAATATTGATTAATTTGTGGTTTCTGTTCTATTGTGTGATAATTTTTTATTTTTATTGTCTATTTATTAACGTTAATTTTGTTTTTCAAATTGTTTTTATTTAATAGAAAAAGTAAAATAACTTAGGCTTAGCACTTAGATACACATTCATATTATCAATACAATGCGTCTCATAGTGTCTAATTTTAATATAAAGGACAATGCTATTGTATAACTCATTTATTATTTATCAAAAAATGAAATATCCTGTTAAAATGTTCTAAATCATTATATGTTGCCAAATCACTTCAAATATTATATAACTACTATAATTATCTTAAAAATGTGTTACATAATTAAATTGTTATTTTGTATTAGCAACAATAGTAGAATTTATCAAGTGCTTTTTTACTGTTACATTAATATCTAAAGCTCAAAAAACATTCAAACTATATAATTGCTATACAATTGTTATTATTAAATACTAAGTAATATACTACTCATAACTCTGCTCAATGATATGAAATTGCTGTAAAATTGTAACATTCTTAAATAGTATTCTACCCATCATTATCCTTAAACATTTTGTTTAGTAAATTCATTGTTTGTATGTATCGTTCTTTTTAAGTTTTTGATTAATTTATAATCTATTCCTGTTACTAATACCTAAATCTTAATTGTTTTCTAAAGTGAATTATTATTACATTGCTATTATTGCCTTTTTTCAATGTTAGACTCAACTTATACCAAAGGCTTTTATTTTAATCATTTTATATTGTCTCATCAGTTGAAATAAAATTTAAACATGTTACTTGTGTTCTTATTCAATTTTTCATTATACATTAAAATAATTTACCAGTTGTAAAAATTTTGCAAAATGATTACTTTATTTTTCAAATACTCCACTTTAAGCAAAACAATATTTTATTTTATTGTAGATTGTTCCTAGTAATTTCAATTTGTAACGTTGTTTTCCATTTTGTACTTTACTTCCATTTTCATTGTGTTTCGTTAATTAAAATATGTTATGACTACAATATTATTAAGTAGGTATTTTTTATATATATATATAATATATCAAAATATCAATGTTAGACATTTTTTTTGAGACTTAATTATGTTAGTTTTTTTTTAAAAGTATTTTGATTATTTTTTGCATTGTTAATTGAACTGATTAATACATTTTTGTTAAAAACTGAAACTCACTGTCTTCCTCTAGCAAGTGGCTTTATAAAATATATATTTATTATAATAAATGATTTATGATTAATATTTTTGCCTGACTGTTAAATATAATACAATATATTGTTAAAAACATTGATACTGTGTTTAATACATTCATAATATGTATTACACAGATACATTAAATGTTTTCATTTTTTAATTAAACATAGTGTACGCATGTCTTTAAAAACATATATATATTTTTTTAATTTGATATCAATTTTGAATTCTGAATTAATATAGGTATAATAATTAATAACTATTGTTACTATTTACAAAATGATCAGAAGACTATGATATGAGTGCTCTATTTCAATAATTTGTGGTGTTTAATCATTATAATTTTGAATTTGTTAAGGTTTTCTTTTTTTACTTTTAAATTTTAATAAGATAAATATTCTTTTTGAAAATTATAATATCATTATGTATTTGTGCAGAAATATGAATCATGTGGCTATTATTTTCAATTCAAATACTATTGATGATTTATTGAAAAAAAAACCCGGTTTGAGGATAATTGGCTTTGACTACTTTCAGCTGTCTATTGTCTAATACATATTTGAGTATTTCCTTAAAAAATGCGGAAAAGTCGGATTCCCTAATTGCACAGAGGTCAAGTAAAATAATAATAACATGAATCTTAATAAGTAATAATTCTATATTCATAGAATCCTATGATTTCTGAAAAAAATTGAGTTAAATAGTAGTAATGAGACAACCTAACGTCGGTATGCCAATAATAAATTTAGGAATGATATTATTGTAGCGCTGCAGAACCATTGTACCTTATACCACAGACTAAATGAAATTATTTTCACATAGTCTGTGCTTATACTAAGTTAGTAGACACATATCTTGGTTCGTGTTATAGTGTCAAATGTCAACGCATTCAGCATGCACCACTGAATACTGATTGTTATTAAATTGATAATATATAATCATTATTAAATATTGTGATAATTAATTTGTTTTATGATAACAATATAGTATCACAAAGGACAAACTCGGCACTCGTTTGGGTGATAGGATCAGATTCTGTGAGACTGGAAGCGTGTACTGTGAATCACATTACAATATCGTGATTTAAGTGATTCGACGTTTTGACACACCTTACTCCTAGTTATAAATTAGTCCTTTAACGAATTTGTCATATTTCAAGTTTTGTATTTACTACATTATTTATGATCTCAAAATCTTATCTCTGCCTTTTAAACAGACACAGCTTCACTTTTCTTAGAGGTAAGTCATAATAATAATTATACCAACTAATTTTTGATTTTGTAAACAATGTTGCGTTTGTTTAAATACCTGCCATAACTCATTACTGCAATTAAGTGGGTGCTGCTGTCATAAAGCAACGTTAAAATATATAACTTGCCATATAATATTATAACATTAAAAAAATTGAGTTCAATATATTTTTATTTTGTTTAAATATTTAATGATGAACCATATACATAATCTAAGTAGATCTTGGACAAATTATATATTTGTTTAGTTATAACCAGAGTTCGGAAGTTTTAAAAGGTTAAATCGGTTATAAAAGAAAAATGTAAACATTTTTAAAAAAAATACTAATATGCATAAAAATATTTTACAATTAAGAAACATTGTACCTACACTTTTTTCTTAAATCCACATTTTAAGTTTTTGTTTTTTCGACTTATTATTGTTAAGAACGAATTTCTAGCTTGCTCTGTTATCAATCAAGTACATATAGAAGAATATACAACTTCTGGAACTCCGAGCCTCAGTTATAAGCTATAACTTATATATAACGATAGAAACATGTGTTTGAAATAAATATATAATTCAACTAGGTAGGTATGTGCATTTATTTAATTGAATATCTCTTTTATGATTTAAGAAAATATACAGTGTGGGCGTAAAAAAAAATGAAAATATGTAACAATTTAATTAATTTTTGTAGACAGGGATTTTAGGTATGTAATATCATTGAGCATATATTGTATACTAAATATGTACAATGTATACTAATGGTAATATATATGCTTGAACAATGTACGAGTATCGGGATAATATTGTTTACAATATTGAATATATATTATTAAGGATTTTTAGTTCACATCAAGTAAACCCAGGAAAAAGTACTATCAACAATATTTGAACATGAATCTTTAACAGATATGAGGTCCAATAAAAGTCCTGTGACCATAAACAAGCCTTGCTTTTTTTGGGGGGTGTCATTAGGTCATCATTGAGGCGAGGCTTCATGTTAGTTACATATCATTGGATTTAAAGTGAAAATAAAATGATTAAACACTTAAATTACATTTATAATTTTCACTGAGAAATTAATCATTAACCATGCTGTGTGATAATCAACCCTAAGTCATAACTCGCATACAAGTATACAACTATATTGCGTTTTATTATTTTGTATAAAAGTGTCCAAAGTTTATAATCTTTATTTTATCTGAGATCTAAATGTAAGTGAATTTAATGTAGATATAAACAAAAACAATAAGTATATATTAATTTATTAGGTCTTATTTATTATTATTATTTTAAATTTTTTTGGAAGCGATCATATTTACTAAATGCAATGTTTTAATTTTATTTACAGAATAATCATCTTCTAAAATGACTGGAAAATTAAAAGCTATATGTTCATTAAAAGGCCATTCTGGTATTGTATGGAATGCATCATGGCATCCAAAAGGACAAATGTTGGCATCCTGTGGCGAAGATAAAACCATCAGATTGTGGAATTATAAAGATGGTGATAAAAGCACTTTAAAGTGTTTGTTAGCTGATGGTCATCAGCGGACTGTCAGGGCAATTGCATGGTCGCAATGCGGTCAAAGTTTAGCATCAGCTAGTTTTGATGCGACTATAGCTATTTGGGATAACAAATCTGGACAGTTTGAATGTAATGCTACTCTGGAAGGTCATGAAAATGAAGTTAAAAGTGTAGCATGGTCTAGATCAGGCTCAATGTTGGCAACTTGTAGTCGTGATAAATCTGTATGGGTATGGGAAGTATGGGAGGATAACGAATATGAGTGTGCAGCTGTCTTAAATGCACACTCACAGGATGTTAAGAAAGTAGTATGGCATCCCCAAGAAGATATATTGGCATCCGCTAGTTATGACAACAGCGTTAAGTTGTACATGGAAGATTCAGACAAAGAATGGACTTGTGTAAGTACTTTGAGCTCACACACATCAACTGTCTGGAGTTTAGCATTCGACAAGACTGGTGATCGACTTGTGACTAGTAGTGACGATCGGACTCTAAAGATATGGCAAAAATATCTACCTGGTAAAAAAGTTATTATTTTTTTTAAATCATTTTAAACATTGTAAAATTATTTCATAATTTCCTTACAGGTAACCCTGAGGGAATTTCCGTTAAAGATGGAAATTTTGTGTACAAATGTGTATGCACAATCAGTGGATTTCACACTAGACCAATTTATGATGTTACTTGGTGTCATTTGACAGATCTAATTGCCACGGCATGTGGTGACAATTCTATAAGAATATTTAAAGAAGAAGATTTATCGGACCGTAATCAACCATCATTTTCATGCGTTTCACATGTGAGTGAAGCTCATTTACAAGATATCAATTCTGTTCAGTGGAATCCTGTAGTTAAAGGAATTTTAGCATCTTGCAGCGATGATGGATTGGTAAAAATTTGGAAAATGGAATCAACATAAGGCTATCACAAAAACATTTATCTTTGTTTAATACTTTAATCTATGTATTGTTATTATATCATTGTATTGTATAAAAGTTGTAATATTAATTCCAAATATATTTTAAATGGGATGATTATTAAGAAATTAAAGCTGAACTACTGAAAATACACATTTTGATCATTATTGTGTTTTAGAGTTTATCTATAAGAAATCACTACAGCTGTATTTTATATGTATTTCAAAAATGATTTGAGAATGAACAAAATCAAATTTAAAATACAGTAGGCCATAATTTATGGTAATTATATATTATTAGTAATACAAATTATTTTACCCAATAAAAACATTCCTACAATTTTTTTTTTAAGACTTGTTAATGCTGTCACTTTTGGATTAACTAAGAAGTATAGTTCCAATTAATGTGAGATGGGTACAACCATTATTGTGTCTTTGCTTCATGCATTATAAATGTGGAGTTTAGGTTAACACAAAATGTGTGGCAGGTATAAACCTAATAAATTTAGATATAAAACTTTGGCAATGGGTTAAGAAAATACAAATATTTAAATTGAAATGGAAACAGTTTTGTTTGTAATATTACTCAATAACCGTGGGAACAACGGTCCATAACTTATTTATTATACTTTCTTATTAGGCATTAAAATATGTAATGGATAGTTTGATTTCGTTGAAAAATAATAAAAAAAGACATTTTTGGCGCAATCATAAGTCATGACTATTGTATAATCTAACTTTTTTAGAGTCCCACCTTGACTATTTAACCGATATTTAACATACTATAATAAGTTCCTACAACATTTCAAAATATTGGCTGTTTTCAATATCAAACAGTCGTGACTCCATTAAAATGTTGAGTGGGATTTGTCTTAAACATGCTGTTCGCCCAATGCTATTTTTTATTTGCATGCAATCATAGTTAAGAAAGCAACATTATGTTGTATTATTTTAAATTCTAAGCAAATTGGCGAAAATATTAATTTTTAGTTTTATTACGATAAATGTTGATAAAAAAAAGAACAATCTTGAAAATTTAACACAAGTCGATACCTCATGAAGTCATGAGTAATAGGTTATTACTGAAGTTAAGAAATGTATCAGTACAATTTTCTTTTATAAACATTTAAATTCAAATTTGAATGAAATATTATTTATTAAAACTAACGAACCTAAATTTAGTTATTTTCTTGTAATTCAAAAATATTTTCAATGGGATTTGAAAATCATGTATATTATTAGGTATATTTTATATAGGTAGGTATACACAATGTCACAATGACATTTTCAAAACATTTAGATTAATTTTATGCTATTGCCTATTCATTCCATGCTACACTTCTACATCAAATCAGGATTGACTCTAAAGTTAATGATGAGCCATTAGGCTTACATTTTTTTATTTATCACCATTTAATTTTGACCATTAGCATAGATATACGTATTATATATTATTATAATAATATAATAAAGCGATATTTTTTGGTAAAAATTTAATCGACATACCGTAAATCGTAGGCAATACTAAAATAAAATTAGTATAATATCAACACCAATATATCATCAAATATACTTACCTATATAGGTAGTGCTGACAGACGATTTTTTTGCTCAGACTGGTTTTTCGTGTGGCAATTCGGTTTTTTATCGTTGAATTCAAATTTAACACATACTTAAATTACCCATAGTGATTAGGTGACTTATTAAACGACGATGTACACTCGACACCTATTGTACATCAAAGTGGTTAAGTACCTAATAGGTACCTACTTACCTCTTTTTTTTAGATTCTGAGCGATGCGATGAATGTGTTTTGAATGTGTTTTGTGATTGAATCGCAGCATTGTACCCAAGGTCGACGATTAAAGATCGAAGCTCATTTCTACTAAGTCCAAATAAAATTAACGTCTGTTCTTAAATAATCCTTATTTTACAGCAACCGCGGCACGTACCGGAAGCCACCCGTGGACCGTACCTCGTTATTGCGCGACCGGCCAACGGAACATGGCGACACTGCCGGAAGTCGTCTCGACGTTGAAGAAGATGGCGCCGCTGTCCCTTGCGGAGTCTTGGGACAATGTCGGTTTGTTGGTGGAACCGGACGTCCGGAAATCTGTCAGCCGCGTTTTCCTCACCAACGATCTCACCGAGGACGTGCTGGAGGAAGCCGTGAGCGTTGACGCCGATCTCATCGTTTCCTACCATCCGCCGGTGTTCGCTCCGTTCAAAAGAATTACTTCGGACGCCTGGAAGGTACCCATATAAACACTGATGTGTGTTTGCAATTGTTTAACTGTCCTACAAACACCAGATTCGTAAGAACGCACATTTTCTTAGAAACTCGACAACTACTATTATTATAATGACGAATTATTTTACATGATGGAAAACAGCTCGGCTTACCGCGATGAGTGGCAATACTGTAATTCCCAGCCGGGTTGTAAAATCGTAACCAGTTCGAGACGCAATTTCGAGCACTCCATTTTAAAAGTTATTCGTCAAGTTTTCTTTTAAGTTTTGTGTCATATTTTATTATATCTGATGAACCCGCTACTTGGATGATAGTCGTCCAAACACACTCACTCCGCTTGTTTTTATGTAATGGATGGGATACTAATGACATACCTACTGTAGGCAAGTAGTTCAGAAATGTATCAATTTATAGACATCATACCTATTGTTATGGAGTGCTTTGCGTCTCACATCCACATAGGTACATCGATAATCATTATATTGTTTCTATTCGTTGAATATAATCTGCAACCATTGATTAAATATACTTAAGCACCACGGGTATACTTAACCAATGAACCAACTGTAAATGCTTGTATTATAGGCATGTAAGGTATGTTTGTAAGATAATAATATATTATATTCGTTAATTCGAAGTACAAATGTTCAACCGGTTAAAAAATATCATAAATCAGCCAATATTTTAACTTAAGCTTGTCAAACTTTAATTTAATTTTAATGCTAACATGTACATTTTTTATACAACTTTATTTTTAATCTTACTTTTATTCGAATATTTAAATCACAGATTAAATATTTCAAAATAGAAATATATATTGAAGAAACTGTCACTGATGTAACAAAATTACATCTCAATAATTGCATGTCAATTTCGGTATATAACGAAACTAATACACCAGGACAGAATATCCATAATTATTTTTAAAATCTCAAATTAAAAGTTGCACAAAATATTTTTTTTTTACATTAATGCCTTTATATAATGAGTTAAATACAATTATTTCGAATACAACTGTTGAAAAATTCGAATCTAATGACATCGATTTGCTATATGGAAATATCTAGAGTCGTGATTCAGAATTTTAGAGATTGAACAATCATAATTATTGTAGGTGGCTATATGGCTATTTATTATATGTATTTTATGTTCGTTTATAGAGTCGTATCGTAAGCCGTTGTCTTGGCCGAGGAATCGCAATATATTCCCCTCATACTTCATGGGATGCCGTAGAAAATGGTTTAACCGATTGGTTGATAAGTTGTTTTGGTAAGAATATAATATATGTGTAGTATTTAAAAAAAAATTTTTTCGTTGTCTGTATTGGTCGAATTTTAGCGAATTCATATTATAACAAATAAATTGATGAATGTATATTCATAAATCGTAGACGGTGTGGTGTCTACAATACAACCGCTGAGCATAAATCCAGAATTTAGCCACGTCGTTACTTTATCGGCGTCACGGAGCGATAATACTCCTTTGGGTGGAAAAGAAATCATAACCATCGTGGAATCATCAGAATTTTTTGCCGGCGTACACTTCAAGTAATTAGCTATTCAATTTTTAGTGTTCCAATGCTTCGTACCTGAGAATTGTGTTATTGATAATATTTTTTCGTATATGTTTTTACAGAATTATAAGCCACAACGATTCTCAACTTCAACTGTTATGCAATTCGAGTTCTCTAGTGACGCTGGATAAAGTTGCTAAGTCTTCAAAATGCAACCTTTTTTTTCACGCCAACAAAAATGAATCGGTTAGTATGCTTCTATACATGACGGTTACAATGCGTCCATTGTATGGCTTATGTATACTATGAAATCTAAAAAAAAAAATATTTAATATTTTGTAGGTACCTATCTATATATATATAAAAACATAAGATTTTCTTAATGAATTATACAATCACGTTAAGTAAAATTAACGACTGTAAAAAAAGTATTAAAATTTAAGTAGACGCCTATATATAATTCATATGACTATTGGCAAGTCTTATTTTTGTAAATTTCAAGAATATGTAGGTGTTTGTCATAAAATACTGCATACCTATTCAGTCAATTGACTTAAAACCACAAAATTCAAATGAATACTTAAAAAATAAAATCATTGTTTTAATTAGCTTTTCTATACATGAAATGTTGAACATATACTTGCAGCGTATTATGCGATTCTACAGCATACAACCAATCATAATAAAATAATATCCAAATAGTATAATGACTGCATTTTGTTAATTTTTGTGACAAAATTAATATTTTCAGTTGCCGTCGTGTTCTACGGGCTCCGGTCGCCGTTGTCAATTTAAACACGGACTGACCATCAGTGCTGCCGTTGAAAAGATCAAACGTCATTTAGGCGTCGACAATTTAATGATAGCTCTAGCCAGAGGATCGACATTAGGTATTTTTTATACTTTTCATATTTTATTTATATATACTATTATACCAATTGCAACGATCATATACGGGATATGTATACCTATACAGTCACTAACCACAATTGTAGAATTCTGATATGGGGGGTCTACATTTTTTTTTACTCGATTTTTCTGATTTTTTATCCAGATAAGATTTTATAATAACATGTACTTTCGATTATATTTATATTTACGTGTAAATTAAGTCATTCAATTATTCAATTTTTTTGGGGACTGAAATAATTTATATTTTTTTAAACATCTAATTCATAGGCATTTTTTACACCATTTCTAGAATTGCCTTTTTCATAAATTTATCTTCGATACAATTTCAATCAATATCCTTAAATTTGATCCTGACTGTGCACTTTAGAGCCTCTATACTGCAGAACGATAGTGGCGTGCCAGCTTTAGGTAGGTACATATACTGGTAGGGTGATGGTAGCACAACCAGTGGCGTATTTAAGGATTGTCCGGGGTTACTAGACTCCTCCAGAACCCCTCAAAAAAGAATAACTATAAAGATATTGAAATTTTAATTTGATATTATATAATAATAATAATACAATGAAGATAATTTATACACAAAGACTTTAAGTATAACAATAAAATAAATAACAATTTTCTTATATTAATACCTATAAAATGTTGGAATTAAAAAAATTGTTGGACCCTCTCAGAAAAATAACGCCACTGAGCGCAACCATGTGATATTTATGAAGTGGAATGGTCATTGTCCTATATATTAGTCAATATCTCAATTTGTCTACCTATTTCAATTAATTTTTACCAAAAAAATGTCTATACTTGATATAACGTTGGTTTGGGCTCTCTCTCTTATAATGGAATAATCGTCGTCATGTCCCAAGGTTGTATCTCAAATGCACTGCGGATAATACGACAGCAATATATAAAAACAATTTATGTTAGTGTAAATAAAACATTTTATATCAAGCTTAAGACTTATATGAACGACTTAGACGAAAGCTCGAAGTTCTACGTGAAATGCTGAATTAATACCACTTGTTGAAGAATTGTCCTTAGCGATAAGTTTTGAAAACTGATAGTATAATAAATATGTATTATAGGTAGCTATTAGTGTTATTTGCGATTGATTTTTTTTTTTTTTTTAACTTTTAAATGTTTAAAATATTTTGAGGAATAAAATGGACATTTTACCATTTTTCGATCGCATTCAGGTCCAAGCACTATAATTTACTATGTTACCTATATTAAAATAATGCGTTTTTTCATTATGGTTTATATATGTACACATCAACTGCTATGAGATTATTATTGGCGTTTCTGAAATGCATTTGAAAGACTTATACTTATTATATTTGAAGTATGACGCACGAAAAAGGCTTACGTGCAATAATTACAATATAACTAATCTACGTGAATAATGCTTTTATTATTACGTTACCAGCGTGATTTACAGAATCGACGATCTGCTCGGCCGCGGCGGTGGCCGGTTCGGGTGCGTCCGTTTTGCGCGGCTGCGACGCCTGCTTGTACTTGACCGGCGAAATGTCTCACCACGACGTGCTGGACGCCGTGCACAACGGGGTGACGGTTGTGCTGGCCAATCACAGCAACACCGAGCGGAGCTACCTGAACGTGTTCGCCCACCGACTGCTGGCGGAGATGCCCCAGTTGAACGTTCACGTTTCGAAAGTCGACCGAGATCCGTTGGTGTTTGTTTGAACACCATAAATAATATTACATTGTACATTATAATAATATACAAACGTACACGATATTTCCGTTTGGTTTTTTTAGTCCCTTTAATGCCCTTATATTATTGTTATTGTTATTACATTTTTTTTTTTTTTTTATTGATCTTAAACTTGGCCACTTAGGCCGTTAGCTGTTAGTAGAAGGGGGGGGTTTGTTTGTGTATGTGTGGCAAGGATTTTTCGCTGTAAATCTCGGATGGTCACCCATACGGGGGGAGCTAGCGACACCGGTCGGTACGCACACTCAGGGCGCGTAGTGAGTGTAGACACCGCGCCGCACCAAGCCACTCATTAATTATTATTGTATCATATAATGACATTTAAAACCTGAAATCCGTCAAACTTAGTTTTAACTGAACGATGATAATCTAGTTTTTACAACCCCCCCTTCGTCAAAACTGACAATGACTAGTTACGACTAGAATTAACCAGGGCCCTCGAAGTTGGAACTATAGTTGTCACTTCACTCACTTATACTTTTCTTAGTTAGAACTAGTTATGTCTGAAGTATAATGCTGAAAACTAGAACTATCTAGTGAAAATCGATTTTCAGAAGTCATTTTAATATTACTGATTAAAACTAGTTTTAAAAAAAAGGGATGGTGGAAAACTAGAGATGACTAAGTACATAATAAATAAGTCACAGAAATGTATTCATTTTTTAGAACAAATAACCGAACTTTATTTTACTTGTTTCGGCAGGGAAAACTATCATGGCATTTAGAGTTGCACACAATTTTTTTTTTCACAAGTAGTGATTTGTTTTACATGCTTTATTAGTTGCAAGAAAACGCTAAGTTCTGTCCTGACCCCATCGTTGCTTTTATTGCAGCCGCGCAGAGGGAAATATTGTCTGGTCTCGCTGTTATGAATATAATTGTGCAAGAAATAAACTCAGACTCAAAACAATTGACTGCCTAATAAGTAATAACAAATATTTTATTTTATTTTGTATAATAGAAGATGATAGTAAATATATTATATACTTGCACGTCTTGTAGTAGAGTTTGTCAAGAATTCCGTCTATAGCTCCAATTTTGTTTCAGTCGTAGCACTTCTTAGGTTTTATGTTTAGCACCTATACATTTCAGTTAAAACTAGTTTTTTAATTTAAACATTTTAAATTTAGGTTAATTCTAGTTTATTCAACCTATAGTTAGTACATAATATCTCCAATTACAATAGGTTATTGAATATACCTAAACAATAATATTAAGAACAAATTTATTTATTTTATTAATAATAGGTTTATTATTTTATTATATTCATAAATTTACTTTGTAGAGCTTGAAATTGGTTTAAAATATCGATTAATATAGTTCAAAATCATTTATGAGAGTATAGATAGACATTACAAAATTACTTAAAATTGTTAAAACAATATTTTAATTTGAAAAAAAAATTGAAAAACATGTTTAAAATTCAATTGCGAACCAAAAAAAGACTTAATAGACATTGTGGAACTATAAAAAAATGAAAAATGATAAAATCAATACATTATTATTCTAAATCGAAATCATTAAGTACTTACTTTTACTTATATCGATAGTCGAAATCGAAATTAAGATAAAAATTTCTTTCCGATTTCAATCCCCGATATTTTGTTTATAAAAACCATCGTGACAAAGTCATAACAGTAAGAATCAAATTTCTATTAATTATTGAGGCGATACTTATGTCAAATGAAACTCGATGTACGTAATATTTGAAATACGCAAGTATATTATTAAATTATTAAAAAAATGATTTCCCTGGGAGTTTCTATTCGTAGTAAGTTTTAAACTTTAAAGCTTAAACGAATAAACTGTTAAAACATCATTGTATTTTTAACTTTTCTCGCAACACAATTTATATCAATCAGTAAATCACATATTATATTTTATTTTATTATGTACATTTAACTTATAAATATTACCATCACTTATCTAAATATGTGTACTTCTGTTTGAAATGATAAATAATATTCATTGAATTTTTTTTGCAATTCATCACTTTGGTAAATTAAATGTAATTGTTTTACAATGTAATTAAAATATGAATTTAAGTAGGCGAATGACAGTACAATGAACAATTTATACTTGGTACATAATTAAAATGTATCCAGATTAGTCAGGCTAATCTATTAATCAGAATAAAATGTGTGTTACATCTACATTCTACATAATACACACTAACTTTATTAATAGACGCTTGGTACTACCGTTCTTTCGTAATTGTACCCATTCAAAAACTAATAATTATAGACACTTGAATTTTTCACCAAATATTTATATTAGCATTTTACATAATTATATGGTAAAATTTTTACTCTTGTTGAGCTATTTATATACTTGAGGAATTTTTTTCACTTAAAAAAGGCTTGAAAATTAAATGCAATAAGGGTCCTCATAACTTGTTTTAATAGCAGTTCAAAAATATTAATAATACATATAGTGTCATATACCTACACTGTTATTTTTTATATGCATTTAAAATTCAAATTTTGACGAAATTCATCAAAACCCCAAAAATGCACAAGTTACTTTTAAGTTAGAAATTCATAAACGTTTTTATTTTCACGCATAGTTAACATGAGAAAAAGTAATAAAATATTTGCTACACATTTTTCTACCATTGAAAAAAAAAAAAGTTAAGCTGAAAGCTAAACTACATATTTATTTTCGATTTTTATTAAATTTTTTAAAATGACTAAATGTGATTATTTATAGGAAGACACGACGTCTCCGCTCAGAGTCGTTTTTCGTATGCAATGATTATCATTGAATTAAAATATAACACAACTATTACAATTTACAATGCCATACTCGACAACTAGGTACTGCACAGTAGATCGGTTCCCGTTTGTCCACCTTTTTTTAAATAATTCGAAGTTCATTTACACTTTTAACATTTTATACTATATATACTTTACTATGTTATGATTAGAGTAAATAAAACTAAATCGTTAATTCAAAATTACTTCAAATATATATGCTTGAATACAAATTATTTTTAAATAAACGTTAATAGATAATAATGACCGTTTATTGTTAAACAAAAAATCACCCAACACATCACAAGACGTCTGACTCATCTTTGGGTTTATTATTCATCATTCTAATTCTCTACCCAACAATTTTTTTTCTCAATGGACACATTTCCATACATGTATTATAGAACTAATTGCACACCACTTTATTTAGGAGGTTAATTGGCTAACTTACTCTAAATTCGATTGGTAAACTTCAAGTACTACTATAAAGTTGATGTGATGTATATAATTTATTATAATATCTAAATATACTAAACACACAATTGGAAAATACGCACAACATTAATTAAGACACGGTTGATTTCGATTGTAAATTGATTAATGAAAAACTACTGACTGATACACATAGGTAGGCACTGATGGCTACGATGAGCCCCTATACTGTTAATTCAGAACGTCATCGTCGGATTAAAAAAAATAATAATTTATTGATATATTTGACCCAAATTAACAAAGCGAAACCCTCATAAAATGTTCCACGTCAGTTAAATTGTATAATATTTTATATTGAATATCTCCACTACAAACTATATATACCGAAAAAAAAACATTATAGGTAAGGCACCAATATCATACATTTTTTTTTTATTATAGCTTCAAGTTAACACTTATATACCGCTAAACAATTAAATCATATTGTATAAGTCATCGTTTTAGGTTTGTAAACATAAGTTTAGAATACCTTAAATCGCTGTATGTTGATCGTCGATCGTTACGTTAGTTATTACCACTTACCTGCAATAGATAGTTACGTTTGTTTGTATTAAGATATTTAGGTAATACGATTGTTGATATTAAGATAACTATTACTTGTTATATGAGTATTTAATATAGATTCATACTATCCTAAATATACTACCAAAATATTGATGATATCAAATTCTTTTTACAACTTCTTTGGAATATTGCTCTGAAATAAAATATGTTTGGAAACAGTGAATAATTTTGCACTCTCGCAGAGTGAGCTTTCCTAACTTGTTTAAATGTATATTGCATTTTTTGTCGTGTGAACAAAGACTTAATATATTTTATTATTTCAGACTACAATACACCATGTTATTGTTATAAGTACGACTACAGTTGTGAATTTGATTTCACGTAATTACCACCATACGAGTGAGGTAGTAAAAAAATAAAAATTATAGTTATCTTCCTGTTTTAATACAACTCTAATATTAATGTATATACCTAATAAATACAGTCGTATGCGCGCTGCGCCATATCAATATTTCCAAATAGCAAACACTATTTAGGTGTATTGAATATATATATTTTTTTAATGATCTTAAGCCCGGCCACTATGGTCTATGGCGATTAGCTGTTTGTGGGTGGAAAGCGGTTGGTTTGAGACACATGTTGTATGTGTGGCAAGGATTTTGTTGCCAAATATCATGGGTGGTCACTGGTCACCCATCCGGGAGCTAGAAGCGCCGACCGGTGTGTACACTCAGAGCTCGTACGCAACTGGGAGTGTAGACACCGTACCACACCAAGCCAAATGTTGCATATTATACTGTTGTCATAACATAATGATTTTATTTAATATTTATTTTCATGAATAAAAAATAATCACAATTGCTCAGCGATTATCTCGTTTTTTTAGTTAAAAGTACCATGCTAATAAACAGTAGGTAAATGAACAAAATGTTACAATATTATTAAAAGTATAATTTATATAGGTAGGTATCTAAAATGTATTACAATAAAAAATTAATATTTGTTTTTAAAGAAATTAACGTTTAAGGTAAATATATAATAATAATGACCCCAATTTATTTGTGAACGTCTATCGAACGTGGATTCCCAATGTGTTCATCTCACTAAAAAGAAAAAAAAACAAATTAAAATTAGAAACAATGAACAAAACGTCATGGGGGTATTTCATCATATCAATCGCTAATATTATTGTACGATGCCAAATACCGTTAACAAACGTCTAACTACTGCAATACCATTACCACTGCAATTCGACATGCGCACGTACCATATGTAGAACACTGTTTTAATGGATTTTGATTACCAGATTGGCGTATTTACGATTTTAATTTTGGGGATGTAATATTATAAGTAACAATTTTACATGCCCCTAAAAAATGCTAAAATAAAAATTAATGATTCCGAATTTAAGGCTGATCACTCAACACCCGAGTAAAATCGTCCACAATATTAGTAGGTACCTTTACGCACCAAAGATATTGGAAATACCTTCGAAAGTTTTTAATTGATATAATATTAATTGTGACATACTTTATTAGGTTAAAAAAATTAAAAATAAAGACATTTTCGTCGCCCGAGAATATATAGAGGAATATTATAAATCCCCTTGGAGCAGGCACGGATCCAGAGCATAGAAAATGGGGGGGGGGGTCAACAATTTTCTGTTAATATATAACTACAATATTGGAATCACTGTCCACCATGAACTAAGATAGTACTATCTTAGTTTGGGCACCCCAGAGTGATACGTATAATAATATATTATCAGACATACACGTCAGGATCCGTAGAATTATTAAACAAATTTGAGAAATAATATGTCTGAGGGGTGGGAGCTGGGCCCCTAGGCTCTCCCCCTGGATCCGTCACTGCCTAGGAGGGGGGTAAAAACACATACATCCCTCCCCGCCATAAATACGCCACCGTTAATAACAGATCACAGGTACCCAATGCCATCGGGTTTCAGATAATATAAAAAAAAAACCAACAACATATATGATTTCATGTAAAAAATAGCAAGCGTGTTAATCGTATATTATACCAAATAATGATTTTAAGTAAACAAAAATATCACAACAATAATGTCTGTGGACGATTGTGCTAATAATAATATTATCATATCGTTTATTATCAGTGTACTCGACCGATATTATAGTTGTGTCTATTATACATTATTAAACATTATGTTATGAATTATTATACAATATTGACGTTTCGGTACATTGTCACCGTCGCATTTATCCGTGAGCTGTAAGAAATTGTAAAATACGATATGGGTTACTTGAATTTTTTTTATGAATGTAAATTACACCGTGAACGACTAGATATATAAAAAAGGATGCGTAAAAACAAAAAAAAATTAATAGTAAAAGGTATATAATAATAATAATAATAATAATAATAATAATTACGATAATATAAAATAAGTCGTCGCGTATGGGACGTAAAAAAAAATTAATATTGAAAAACAAGAGTGCACCTTAAAATGACTACGATTTCCGAGTAACATAAAGTCAAGGGAAAAAAAAGATACAATCATTACATTAAACGCTTGTGCCACTTAAAGTTTATCATAAGTAGTAGGTATAGATGTGGAATATTATGCAGGTATCATGAAATATGAGTAAAATTAAAATGATTTAGCAGTTAGCACGCTATAGCAGTTGTATAGCCAACTCGCTACTCCCACTATACGCATATAATATGTAGTGATTAGTAGTTGATTGATTCCTGAAAAAAGAAAAAAAACAGAAAAAACCAAAGGTAAGATATAGTTATATTATTAGCATTTAGAGAGAATGTGTTAGATGTTCCGAGATATGTTCCATTTACAGTATAATACATTATAATAATATTATAGACTCCACTGGGAGCACACAAACGTGCTAATAATATCATTATGCATTATATTGTCATGTACAATCGATGTGTATTGTGTTATAAGGGTAAACAATAAGTAGGTATGCAGAGTGATTGATTTTAAGTTTTGACCTTTATGAACACTTTTGTAAATATTTTCGTTAAGATATAATATTTAAAGACAATATAGTAGGTATATAAAACAATATTTGAAAAAAAAACATCATATTTTTTTCTATTTGTTATGATCAAAACCGTCTTAATTTTTTACTTATTTGAATGACAATGCAGTAAGTACATTTTAAATTTCATATTCCGTCACAAAATATTTTTTTGAAAATTTCAATGTGTAAAATTGAATTCCGAACGAGTAGTTGATTAGTTTGACGAGTGTTAAAGTGTTGATGAACAAATTGTAAGCAGCACATGGATATCTTGCGAAATGTGTATCCACTACTCGGTTCAACAAATATCTGGGTACTTTTAACTTGGTAAATATTGATTTCCTATAAATCTAGAAAGCTTTTTCGATTTTACGCATTGACAATTTCAGAATAACATTCTGCTTCGGATTATGAAATTCAAAATGTACCTACTATACTCTAATTAAAGCAATTAAAAAAAAAAGATAACGATGAGAAACAGTAAAAAAAATATGTTGTTTTTAAAGTAGTTTCATCAGAGTTAAAATTATATGAGAAAAATATTTCCGTAAACGTTTATACTTTTCGAGAAAATGAGTGTTCACCTTTAAAAAAAATCACCTATTGTAAACCTTTCTGTAAGCAATGTTACATGTAATAATAATGATGTATATGTTACGTGTTAATTGTGTTAGCAGAGATTGATTAATGAATAATATTATGTGAAAACGTAATGATTTGATTACTGCAGTCTACTCCAGTTGGTAATGAATAATGACACATCATCAAACGCGTACAATGTATTTTTAATTAACATTTTTTTAGCATATTGTGTATGCATTTTATAACTTAAACTGTCATATTGTATTTTTGTACGTACGTGCACAAAGTTCAAAATAATAATACTTGTGTAATTTCTAATTATATACGATTGTTCTTGGTTGAAAACGGTTTGATAAAAACTGAATGATCGCCAAAACGGTTTTTTTTTTCAAACGATTCCCATAACACTGTTATAACGACGTGGGATTTAGTAAACTGACGATTTAATAATGGTTGCACCAAGACTGAGAATTTAATGCACTAAAAAAACCATGCAATGAACATTGACTTATGGAAAATTAAGTCAACAATTCCAAAATATTCAAAACTCCGCAAAATCAACATAACGAAATAGACTTACAATTATTAATGTATTTATGGCATGAACGTTCTAGTTAATGGAAACACAAAAAAATTATTCATAGAAACAACTGAACAACATTTTTAAAATTTAAATCTACGACAAAATTCGACATCGTTGAACGAGACAAAATAAATAGAGAATACAGTACATTGATTCAAATTCAAATATTTTTCTCCAAACATGCAAAAAAAAACTGGATACTCGCGCACATTATATGCACATAAATGTGTTTTATACATGTGTAAAAAAGGGCAAAGTAAAACTCATTTTAAAATGGTAATGCCTTGACGGTCAAATTTGTATACATTTCGAATTCAAGATGAAATTTATCGATATTCGATACGAAAAAACAATAAATCCACAGCCCTGGTTACACCATGATATTTCGTTTCAGAGCATTAGGTATTTAAGCCCATAGTTCTGCAGCTAAATTGTTGTTGCATTTGGTACGCTTTTATCGATTTACATCGATCCCGATGATTATTTAAATTTCAGTCTAAGCGGGCCGTAGCCACATTATATCGAGTTGTAAGTATGTTATTGAAAACTTGTACCGTTTTAAGCACACATAATAATATAATAATATCATCTACGGTGTTAGGTCATAGTATAAAATTTTGCAGCAACAATAGCGTTTAAGTGGACCTCGACAAAAATCATTTTGGAAGGCAAAAATTGTTTTTTTTTTTATACATACATTTATTGGAAAGCAACAAACTATACACAGAGCGTCCCGAGAGGATAACCCATTAGCCGCGTAGAGGGACACACATCACCCGGATAAAAATAGGTTATTTGCCGTTTTACCTATAAACTAAAAAAACGATTGAAAATCACGAAATTGATGAAAATAAAATGTTGAAAGGTCAAAATGTTCGAAAAAATAAACTTTGCAAAACGGATTATCTTCAATTGTTTCGAAAATAAAATAATAAAATAAACGTAGTCCCTGTCTCGGAGAGTAATGAAAAAACAGATTTATGATATAGGTATTTACTATTTATTATCTCAGGAGAGGTATCGCAATGGGTAAATCCTCGAGGGTCACGCTGTACAGGTATTTCAATGTATTTATTAACATAGCAATATGCGTTTGTACTATGATCACTCCGTATGCCATCGTATGCGTAAATAAAACAAATACTTTTGGACGCGATTAAAAATGTGATTGTGTTATACTATATACATAATATTAATTAAATTCAACGATTATTATGCTACTACTGTACACTGCCACCATACAAAATCCACGCATGGCATGCGTTTTATACACGCATCATCCGCAATCTTTCCGATTATGTGTGAAAAATCAAAAGTCAAAATAAAATAAACAAAATAAACAAACGTTGAACCGATAAAGATTATCCTTACTGGCAATATACATCGACAGTGTGTGTGGACTGTGCGTACACGGGTTTTGTGTGAGAATTTTTTTTCCTACATGATAGTACAGCAACCTAACTTACAGCCGAACAATCCCTTGGCCTTTGACATCATGCTCTTGGCCGGTTCCCCGAGAGCGTCGCGCTTCTCGCTGAACAACTGGTCGGCCTCCTTGAGCTTGTCGTCCACCACGGTGCTCACCTGCGGATATGAATGCGTTTGTTCGCGACAAAGGCGCAAACAAAAACAGAAAACGATTAATATCAAATGTTACAATAATGTAGCGTCTCCGAGGTCGGCGGATCGCCGCGGTCCACGGAATTATAGTGATAATAATATATGTGATAAGTATACACGTCCGTCATCGGTACGATATTTATTATTATGATATTATGACAGTGAAACTTCCATTAAAAAATAAAAAAAAAATTGCTCAGCTATGTATTTTTCACAGCAAGATCAATTTAATTCTGTTCGACGGAATTCTCTAACAGCGAGAATTTTTTCGCGTCGCTAGCCAGACACTGGCTGCAGTATGGAAGTTTCGATGTATAATACGATTATAATAGTGTATACTGCTGTAGGGGTGTTCGCAGAACGCATTCGATATCGCTCGACCCAACCCGACCCAAAAGACTCCAACCTAAGGGTATTTGGTTGGGTTATGGGTTTAGGGATATCGAATGGCGATGTTCTCTGCGACCGGGGAATCGCCCCTCCTGTACACACAGGTGTGTGTACGAGAGGTGCGTAATATGATAAATTATAATAATAATATAATAGCGACTGCGCAGACATGTATAACCGTGGGTGTTTAATTCAACGCGAATCACTCTCTGGTCCCAAAACTATTAAATGATATTTGAAAATAATTTTTTTTCATAATTAAAAGTCATTAAAAAACAAAATTATTGAATAGAAATTATATTTTTTACAATATTCTGCCGGCGTAATATTTTTAGTATTTACTTTTTTGAACAACAACATACATTTATAATTTTTTAATTGAGAGCAAAATATTTGACATTATATAATGTCAAAAGGTCGGACGAGTAGTTCAGTTATACGTTTTAACACATAAGCTACAAATCCAAACTTTGATTTTTATGTATTTGTTTTGTATTTTTAGTGTACTTCACAATGAAAAATATTCGGCTTCTCAATAATAATAGGAATTAAAAATGATGTTGTATTGTTGTCATTAAACAAAGTAAACATTTTAAGATTGTTCAATTTTTGTTCAACTAACGACTAAAATGTATGTAAAAATATTTTTTTCAAAACTATTTATAGTTTTGGAAATAATGAGTGTTCTTCGATAAAATAAACTCCTGGTATACATGCAGGGTGTAACAGAAATAGCTGACAAATATAATATAATTAGTATTTACTATTTACTAACTTTTGTTGCACAATAAACTTGTAGTTAATTAATTACGTCACGTCAGCCTTTTCAACAGTTACACTCTGTATAATGTACATTTAGTGTTTCTCAACCCTGCTATTACGAAACACTTTGTAGATAGCTATATTACATTTATTTTTTTCGTGAAACTTTTGACGTCAGGAAGTGACTTGTGAGTGAAAAATTTATTCTAAAATATTTCACGAGAGGGTTTACAGTTCAATTTTGATGTCGTCAAACTTGTAGGTACGGATATGTACACTCGAATCAAATTAAACTGTACTTTGAGGCGGTGAAAAAAATCAGTTGTATATAAAGGGGTTGAGAAACACTGAACTATAATGACATAATGTGATACATATTCATAAAAGTATATAATATTATATGGGTATATATGTATATATATACATAATATATACGCGTCTATACAAAGCTGCATGACAATAACTACTAAAACCGGGTGTGGCGTGTGATGGAAATATGAAAATAAAATAAAAACATGAAAAAAATGACCGCAATAGTCATCGTCGCATTCGTGTGTGATGTATAATGTACTATACTACGTCAAAAAAATCAGAAAACCATTTAGCAATATAATATGTATGCATGAACAGTATATAGTCTCACCTCGTCTATATTGTCTGTAGCCGTTAAATGATATTATTATATTAACGATAAATCCGTACGCAGACCGCGGACATACCACGTGAAATAATACATAATAATATCATATAACAGCAACGACATAATAAAACGTTTGCGTCTGTTTTCCCAGTATAATATAATATATATAAATATTATATACACGCAAGAGACACACCTACCTGTTGCTATATATGTATATATATATAGCATACACATATTATGTATACGACGACGTACCTACACATATTATTATATAATAACGTGTGATTTGGATCTATAGGCGAGCTCTGGGATTTTTTTTTTTGGGGGGGGGGGCCTATGGGATGAGTACGCATAAGGGTTGTATCCGAGTCGATTTCCTGTATACACGGGTATCGGCGGGCGAACCGTACCTGTTTAGCGGCATCGTCGACGAACCCCTTGGCCGACGTCGACACTTGGTCGACGATCGGGTTCAACTGCTTGACGCCCTCGGCCAGCGCCGTGTTGACGTGAGCGGACACGTCGCCCGCGATCGGCTGCAGCTTCTTGGCCAAGTCCTGCGCCAACGGGTTGATCTTGTCGTGCACCGCCTGGTCGAGGGCCGGTTTCAGCTCGGCGGCGGTCTTGTCCACCAGCGTCTTGGCCTCGGACGCCACCTGGTTGACGGTCGACTGCTGTTCCGGAGCCGCGGCCACGGGTGCGGGCGCCGGCGGGGCGGCGGGTGTCTCCTAATCATCACAATATCGGTCCAAAATTGTACATTTCGGAGGCCCCGGCAAAACGTTTACACAGTTTGCGCGCAGTGCTCGTTGGGCAATACGTTATATAGCGATTGATATCGTGTGACGTATACTGCACGGTGAAACCCACGTCATCTGCAACGGACGAACACCGAACACCTCCGAATAGCGGACGACGTTTCCGAGAGTGTCCGGTACATCGGAGGTCTCACCGTAGTATACGATTGGACGACGGGGGACGAGGCGCTGCACGACGACATCGCGAACTGCACTAGCGTTGACTATATACTATATATATATATACGACAGTCGTGACCAGTGAAATATTGTGTAATTTGCAAAGTTGTTATCAAATTGTATAACGGCGATTCCATTCCGAACTAAAGTATATCATATACGTGGCGATCTCGAGAAAATTTTTTTGGGGAAACCTATTTAACGAGTGTGCTTGGCTGTTAGCAGAAGAATCCGCTGAATAGAGCGTATCAAAGATGTTTCCGGTGGACTATTTTTTTTTTTCAATCATAATAATATTACATAGCTTAAACAAACCGCGCCCACGTGAGTGACGAGTTTATGAAGGCGGTGAAAATGTCGAAAATATTTATCAAACAATATTTATTTTTTATACCTATATAGGTAATTCCATTGGGGTCACTCGCTCGGAAATATAAGCCGACTATTTTTGTACAAAAAACCTTGGCAGATACACCATAATATTACGATATGGGTCACGGACAAAGGGTGCGCAGTAAAATTATGAGATCACAAATGCTTTTCGTCGTTCTCTTGTGGGGTAAATTTTCCTAGCTGGGGGGGGGGGTCTGGCACTGAGGAAAGAGCCACGAACGTATGTGTGGTGAAAAGCACGGGCGGGGGAGGAAACGTCCGATTACCAGTTGCGACAGTACCGGCTGCTGGTAAAGTGCGATGATATCATACCACGTGTATGGTATCACCGGTACATCTGGTTTACCGGTAACGAAATGTGCATGATATTATATTATACACAAAACGTGAACATTAAATACATCGAATACGGCTGCTATGTGTGCAATATAATGTGGAAATGGCATTTTTAAGACTGATTACGTAACGGAAGAACACGCACCGCGATTCGCGATTTGGACCTCAGTCGCATGACAATAATCATAATAGTTTGGCATTAATTGGCATTATTTTTTACACTCCTATATTGACCTTAGACCACGTAGGACGAGTTAGATGACCGATCCATATAGTGTTACGATCTCGTTGCAGCTCAACGAAATTATATATATGTAGGTATCGTAAATGAAGACTTTTTCCTGATAAGAAAACACAAGACTCGTGGATGCCTTTGACGAGGTCAATTCAATTCACTTGGAAAAATTGTCGACACTTACGTGATGGTCGTTTTAAAGCGAAGTACAAAGGGCAGAAAATAATAATGATATGTATACGAGAGGAGTCACCGTAGAGGCACAATTAGGATTTTTCACTCAATGTGATATATATAATATGCATGTACATATAATGTGTTATATGCCTAAAATTAATATACAAGTCGTTGAGAGGAGGGGGAAGACATACCAAATTGTCTCAGTACTATAATATATATAAAACGTTAGCTCCCTGCAAGGTCAAGACTATTATAATGTATGGCATTCCAAATATTATTACGATACCGGGTGATCCGTTTAACGTGTTAGTCTCTGTCGTTATTTCAAAAACCATAGTAATGTTTTTGAAAGTATTTTATTTCACTTAATTTTAAATGGTTAAAAAACGACATTTTTCCAATAAAAAAAATATATTTATTACTATTTTCTATCGTTATTTTTTTAAACTTTTTATATGACAGCATGCGTTTTTCACTTCCCTTCTCTAAAGCAGAATATTTTTTAGTGTACTTTGATAGTTACAACATAAAAACCGAATTTCGTCAGGTTATGATTTATAAGTATTTGAAGGTTATAGTAAGTTATAGTTATACTATGTTTTGAAAAATGGAGTGGTACCCTACAAAATGTTGGTCCACTTTTCCGCTCATCTTACAACTTCAAATACCCATAACTATAATAAAATAAACTACTCGTCCGAAATGTAGTGTAATTCTTATATACCTAGATCGAAATACTCCGAATAATATTCTGCTTCAGAATATGAAATTAAAAACGTATGCTGTCTTACAAAAGATGACGACAAAAAAAATGATAACAATATAGTAAATAGTGAGAAATATAATTGTTGTTTCTTAAAATGTTGTTTTGCGACGATATAATATTTGATATCATGTAAGAGAAATATTTCAAGAACATATTATTGTTTTCTGAATTAATAAGGAGTGTCTTACATTAATTGTATCACCCCGTATTAATGTATTATAGAAGTTTATGTCCACAAGTACGCATTATTAAAGGAGGACGAAAAAATCGTGGATGGTATAGTGGCCTCCTTACTTTATTACCTATACGTATCATGAGACACTTCGCACACTAAACATTAGAGTAGGTAGGAGGCCGTAATAGGCTGTAATAGGTACGCTATGGTATTGTTGTATGTTTAAACAGCGGAAAATTGTCATTCCGCCTTATTACTATATCTGTCTCTATTACTTTAGCAACTACAACGCAATGTCTATCGTACCTGTTGTTGACGCGAATCGATTGTAGGTGCATATTTCTATATTTGATTTGCCAAGCACACGCGTATTCGATGTATTCAAAGTGTGACACGATAAATAATAATAATAATAATAATATAACGCATATGCACTCGATTATTTCATATTATATCTAACATTTTTTTTGTCCTGCAGGGCGAAGAACATCTGTTTGAAAATAGTTACCGATCGCAACAGTATCCTTCTCGCGGAATAGAATATGGAAAGACACCTCCTCGCGGTTGTGTAATTTTCTAAATCGATATTACGATACTCCCGGTTTAAAAATTATATGATAATAATATTTTTACTTCTGACCCGATAAAATTGAAATAATCGAGGGATATTTTATTACTATTATAGGTACAATTGTACACGTTAACCTACATGTGTATACAGCTGGTGCAGTTCGAGCGTCGTTTTGTGTTATTTTTTACAATAACAATAATAATAATATAGTAACACTCAATAAATTACCCATTACCGTTTGCATGCAACATTAAAAAAGCGTGCATCAATATTCAATAATAGTGCATGAATCTATGATTTGTAACGATTATATATTTTTAATGCTCAATTTTAACCTTTATTCTCTTAATTGGTTAGAACATTTAAAATAAAAGTTAGACAGTTTTTAAACATATTGGTATTTGATAGAAGGTGATATAAATGATTTAAAGGTCTCCTTCGGTTTTAAACAAAGGTCATAAGGTCTTTGGATATCCGCAATTATAGGAGTAATAAATAATCAAAGTCTGGCAGCACCCATTTATTTATTCTCTAGTAATAAATTGATTAATTAGTATTTAAATACTTTATCAATCATAAATGCCCATTCATTATATACCTAATCATTATCTATTAATATTATTTAGAATTAATATAAATTATAATCTGACGTTTAATGCTTTATTAATATTAGACTATTGAGATCGTTAGATACCTAGTTCGATGAATTATTTTTAAAGAATTGAAATTTTCATTTCGATAACTTTACCTTGTGGTGCTTTTTTTTTTTTAATTGATAACATTTTAAAATCTGGGGCAAAATAATTTATATTAAACATTTGGTGAGGTATTGTTTTATGGTTTTATAAATATATTGTTACGTATATTATTACCTATGAATTATTGTATTTTTATTGAAATCATACCATATAAAGCAAGGTACTAGGTATGTTTTTAACGTATAATATTCCTATTTAGACTTACAGAACACATTTACTCTGATGTAAATACTAACTATAAATCACTAATAAGTGCATCATACCTCCATTAATTTATATAAAAACATGACAGCAGACTCATATTTAATGGGTAAGTTACGATAGAAAATAATCTGAATAATATCATATATTGTTATATAATATTGACTAGTAAAAAGAACAATTTTATTATATTTCCACGATTTTATTATGTTGATGAAAACACTCCACCGAAGGCATTATAAAAGTTTTGAAATATTTGTGCTATCTGTATACTCGTATGCATATTTATTTAAATATTATGCTCACTTAATATATTATTGTCATTCGTCGGTATTCCTTTCTCCCGACTCAGTAAATAATTAACACTGCGCTACATCGATAACAAAATATGACCGAATTCCAGTTTAAACAATGTTAAATTAATGCGCACCATCACGCTATTCGGTGGTCATTTAAACGGACGAATCGCCGAGCATAATGGCCTTGGGAAGCCGGGAAATAATGCTTGGCGAAAATAAAAAATAAAATAAAACACCATAATGATATAGCATTAGCTCGTACGTCTAACCCACATTCCGTGTATCGATCATACGTCACGATTGCATTGTTCGAATCTAAAATTCCACGCGATTTAAAGAACAGGCAACACACAATGTGCATATACTTTATATACCCGCACTACTATATTATTATCCATATAGCTTCTTACCGGATATTTTTTTGTATTATTATTATTACTTTTATTATATTATGCTACCAAACATACCTAAATATTAACCAGAAGCTACTTACTGTTGTTGTTCTATTGAATTTTACATAATATTCTACTGTATTATAGGGCTGCCACCAGACGTACTATTATAGTGCACCGAAATATTTGTGCCCCGTTTTTTTTTTCATATCAACCAAAATGTTCTGTTTTCAAGCTGTTTCAAGTATTTCGTTCACCAAATTCCAAAGCGTCGAAATGAAAATATCAGAAAAACAATCGCTTCTGTGCTATTATCGTTATCTGTTTCTGAGCAATAATAAGTGTTATATAATTTTATTATTAATTATCTATACAGTATCTCGTTTATGGGTTTATTTAGGTATTATTTTATATATTATACACAGAGTGGTATCACTAGCTTACCGATCATCATTTTTTTCCATTAATAATAAATTTACTCAAATTCTGGTTCTTGAAAGTTTTAAGTACCTATGGACATACAGAAAGACGGTAATTTTGCTTGATTCAGCTTTTATCGTCACTACTTAAATGGTTTAAAAAATCAATGTATTTATAAATATGGTCTCTATAAGCAAACTAAAAAATTACAAAAATTTGGATTTGAATTACCTACTAAAAGATAAAAAGAGGGTGAGCTTGCTTGCTGAATTCCCCTGCGCATTATAATGGCTGCATTATTATCAATCCTTTTTTTGTTTTATGACAATTAATGTATTATTTTCCATATCATGTTCAAGATTGAATATTATTATATTATGGTTCTCCGTTAAACGTATATAAGTGCCTTTTATTTGATTTGAATAACAACATTATTTTATTGACTTCCACCCACCAAAAAAAAAAGTTACCTACCTTTTTTATAATTAAGGACTATAGTAACCCTATTTATAGCCGTTCACCATGTAGTGAGCGATCGTGCGATTGGACGTCGAATAGGAAGAAAAGGTGATTATTATTTTTATGTTAAAATTTAAATGGATTATTTAATGAAAAATAATGACGATCACACATGAATCACGTTGCAGACGTTCACATTAACTAATAAGAGAACCCAAATTCTTAATTTACAGCAAACCAACGTCTGTGCCGTCTGTTTTATGATAATTTATAATTGCATAATATTATGAGTAATGAAATAATGAGGCTATTAGGTAAGTGTATTTGAAAGTGATTATCTATACGTTTTGGACGCTTTATTTATAACTGCCCGTCGAAGAAAAATTATTAACTAATAAATCAAACAAACTCGGATAAGATTCGGTACAATATAACATAAGCGTTTTGAAATTAATTGAGGTTTTATGATATATCATTATTACAATATTACTTATAAATATCAAGACTTTCATTATTTTATTAGACTAATGAATTTCTGGGAAATGTAAATTGCAGCAAGATAATGATAATATACGATTTTTGTCTGTAGACATTTAAAACTGATTTATATAAAACGTACATTTATTTATATATAAATAACAACATATAGTAGGTAAGATTTTGACAAAAAAAAACAAAACAAACAAACAAAATCATTTATACCACCTTTATAGTTTTGGACTTTCAAATCTGTAGGTACAAGACATCATAACAATAAGCTCGTTTCTATAATAATGTAGGATAATGTTTTTTTTTTTGATTCTATGTATGAGCAGAGTATTATATTCTAGAGGTTATACAGAAAATAAACACAATAAAATGTATCGTTCTTGGTAATTCGGTTACATATTATAGATTCAACCGTTATTGATTTCAAATCCGTACACCGTGTTAATGTGCTTATTGTATTACACAGTTAGAGACCCGATCAACAAACTAAAAAATAACAAACATTTAAACAAACAATCTACAAAGCAAAGTGCATGTTATTCGGGGATAGTTGTGTGTTAATGCTTGTTAGTGTGCGTGTATTGTACCTATATGTGTTGTTTTTTGCAGTACAATTATTATACTACTACTTACTGGCGTTTCCACCCACATTCCGAACTTCATAATATTGTAATATTGGGGTATGCATAAAATTTTGTTTACAATTCTCGATCATTTCGATATATTCGCCCGATGAAAGTATCGCTCTCTCACTACCTATGCCATACGAATTTCCTGTACAAATATTGTGCAGATATAGGTTTGAGGAGTTTCAATACTCATTTCTTACAATCAGAACTAACGTGTGGTTTCAAATAGGCAATAATATTGTAATATTTCATCTGTTGTCAGAGCTAACACAAAATTCTATGTGTAAATCAACGATCGGAGTTTTTTTAAATTTATATCAACATGCTAAAAATGAAGTTGAATTTTGTTTTTACTCGCGCAGTGTTGTTTGAACTCGTATTTGAAAAAAAAATGTATTTCCTACTGTTACGCACATTGTTCGATCAGGTTTAAATTAATAATGAACCATCGACATATTTGAATGAAAAACTGAATAACAGCGATGGACTCAATTATATTATTATCATACTAATGTGCCAGACAAATCGTCTTGAAAAATGTCTATGTTAGGAAGGAACTTTGTAAAAAAAAAAATTATAATTCGTATTACAACTCTGACAAATGGGGAATAAACTTCACTACAACTTTATATTTTTGAATCTAACAAAGGACAGGTAGAATCACGTTAAAAGCTTAAGTATAGTCGAAAGTGATTAGGTATTTCGTAATACTATAACAGCGCTAGTTTATTTCAGAATATTCCGATAGGTAAATAAAAACCTGCACATGATCCGTGCGAGATGTTTTCGTTTCGACACCGCAGCCTCTTCGGTGACCACGTTTTTTTTTCAACCCGTGTACAATGTTTTTGTCAGAGGGTGTGTTTCGGTGGATGGGGAGGTTGGTCGTTAACTCATACCTTGGGCACCACTCTGCCGAATATCAGTCCTGTGGCTTTGGAAGTCTGGTTGAGAACTGTCGTGGCCAGAGGTACGACCTTGGTCGCTAACAATAAGGCCATCTTCGAAGCAGCGAGACTTCCGCTAAGCATGCCGTTCATACCGTTGGTCATACCACCCAATGCGCCGGTCATGCTACCCATTGCGGTGGACATCCCTCCGGCTAAAACGCCCATCGTGTTAACCATCCCTTGGGCAGTACTCACCATTCCGTTGGTGGTGCTTTGAATCATACTGGAGACTCCTTTCACCGTATTGGCGACTCCCTTCACAGTACTTTTCATGCCACCGGCCGTTTCGTGGACTTTATCGGTCACCTGGTGGGCCTTATCACCTACCGAATGCGCTACCTTACCGACAACCGAATCGTCTAATTTATGGGTTACCGCACTTGCGGCGCCTTCTAATTTGTGCACCGAACCTTCGATATTATTCTAAAATATTGCACGAAATCAAACACACGTGCACACAAGCAAGGTTGCAATTAAAACATTTAACTTGGTTATATAATATATAGTTAATAGGTATACATTAATACATTATTGTTATATGCGAGTTTTATACTTTAAGACACCGACAAACATGTTAACAACATTAACAATTTTAACACACAACACTGCAAGATTTCTTACGGGTATTTGTGAAGCTATGGCGCTTCTGACGGTATTTCCGATCAGGGAACCAAAATCGAGGCCCGCGTGACTACCGCCAGACTATAACAGTATACAATTTACTATTATATACTTAATAATATAATAGTGTGTACATAAGAATTTCGAAATTTCGTTAGCAATTAAACCATAAAATGATTAATATAAATAATAATTAATAAACGTTAATAGTTGTAAAGTACTTATGTCACAAGACCGATAATAGTAAAATATACAATTATACAATAATTGTAAATACTTGTGATAATAAATTTAAACTATTTCAATAAAAAAAAAAGTTAAATAACACACTCTTAATAAAATAATAAATATAGACATACAGTTTACGTTTTATATAGAATAAACATTGTACCTATGCATTTAAAGTCTAAACAATAACTAAAGTTTTTCTACATCGGTAAATCTACAATTTGATCATATTAAACAATATTAAAATAATTTTTTTACTAAAGAAACTAAGGTATTTATTATAATAGTTTTCTAAAGAATAATTTATATGCGTTAGAAATATTTTTAAAGAAATTCCTAATAAAACGTTATTTTAAACAAATATTACTATTATACTCGTAATATTATAATACCATCAAACATCAACAATAAATTTCATGTAATATTTTTTTTCGTACAGTAGAGTAAAAATAAAAATAATATTCTACTTAGTACAATCGAATTATTCAAATCGTACTTGAATGGTTGTAACTTTTGCAACATATTTGTTCGGTCTCTTTGTAAAAACTCGTATACAATTTCATTAAATTTTGCTTTTACATTATACTGACCTCCACTTTACTAGCAACATGACCAATTGAGTTCTTAATTCCACCTAATAAACCACCACCACCAATATCGTGTTTAGAAGTCTACAAAAAAATTATAATAATTACAGAAAAAGCCATACGACACGATTTAAGTCGTATCAAATTATTTTGTAACATAAAAGTATAAAATATTGATATTAAAATAATCGTGCACAATAATGAAAATAATATGCAAAATAAATATGAATGTTGCGTTTATAAGCTCCGAGTGCAATAAAAAAATTATTTCCGCTATAAGCTTTTGTATAGGTTCAGCTAGCAATGTATCATAACCCATAAAGCCCCGTCTAATACCTCCTGTAAGGCACTATCAGCAAGTTTCTCGACCTCCTGGTCAAAGCCGTCCACAGCTGCATTTTTCGCCTCTTCTGCGGCACTCACAGCTTTGCCTTCTGCCTCGTTGAGCGTGTTAGATAAGAACTCACCGGTTTCTTTGACCTAAGGATTTCATAGTCAACGCAAGTGTGTATGATATATGTTTATACTTTGTATCACTTCGCCACAGCATTGTTTGTAAAGTGTAATATTATACAATACAACGATACGATGAAATAATAATGATCTTATTATTGTTATCATGATTTATTCATGTATTTTATACAGCTTATGCAAAATGGTTACGTATCAATGTCTAATATTTATCAATATAAATAGTCAATATATACAATATACATATTAAATCGTAAAAGAGGAATAAAAGTTATGGAAATAGATAGTTATGTTAAAAGCCACCACAATAAAGTAGTGTATTGTTTTTATTCACCTCAAATATGAATTGGTTTTCATGCTTCCGATATTGAGCATTTCATACAACCAATATTAAATTATATAAATTTCAACAAAGCATTTTAAGAGAACATTATATCGAATTATTCGCAGAGGTTTACTTTTTTCTATTGATTTTACAAATTTCGAATAAAGTCAATTAAGGTGGCTGATAAACTAGGTAAATGTTTTTTTTCTGTAAATGTGCGTAATAACAACAATTTTCGAACTCTAAGACTAAAACATTAAAAATTCCCAAGAAAGATTGATTGTATTCTTCTATAATACAATATTTTAATGTATTAGGTATTTTTAGATCCAGACTACAAATTTATATGAACTAGTTAGTCGGGAAGCACAAAAATCAATTCGAAAATAAAATGGACTAAACACAATAAACATCATGTATGAATTTATATAATATATATTGTATATTATATCTACTTAATTTGTTTACCTATTACAAGCCAAATACATTATACAGGAAAGTTCAAAGGGGGTACACACCAACTATACACCAAGCTCACAATTAAGCTTCAAGATGACATCCCAAAAATTATTCATCTTAAAATAAACTAATAATTGTGTAAAATTTAAAATGAACATTAAAATTATCTATCAATCGTATTTTTTTCCTCCTCATCTGAAGGATTCACACAATTTGAAAAATATTTATAAATTCTATGACTTTTTATGAAGAACTTTTTAAACCAATAATTGTATTAAGTTAAAATGTTACAAATTGTTATTACATAACAAAGAAAATTAAAGCTAAAATATTTTGAACATTTCGAAAGTGTTTCAAAATCCACAAATTCAACTTCTTACTCTACCATCTCCACCCGCTATTGCTTAAGTAAAAACTTTTTATTCAACATCACAGCCTCCCTCTCCAAACCTCCAACTTTAAATAACCCTGTTTTTATAATTTTTAAATCACTGAAAAATTGACTAAATAGAATCAAAATGGTAAGTGTCGAAAATGATGGCCTTAATTAAAAACTAAATGAAGTAATTAAAAATTAAAAAAAAAAATATTAGTTCACATTAAAACTATAAACGATGAACTATTGATATGTTAAAAAATATATAGGTACATGATCTTTTTTACATACATATGTACATTGATTACTGACATTATTTTGGAGGTAGGAGAAGCTGTGTTCATGAAAATGAAGCTTATCCCACGAAAATGCGGGTTTTATATGAAGTTTATCATATGATTTAACAAAAGTTGTTATGCAAATTCAACAGAGATTTCGGATAAGATATATTACAACGTATTAACTTGTCAGTTTTTGTATTATATTATTTTCTCATTATTATTTATACTTTTTTTGTTTTTCTCAACTAAGATTTATAACGCATCATTAGTACAAGGTCATAAAGCTCAATTTATTCTATATTTCTGTAATACTATATTTGCATGAAAATTAAATTACAGATCTAATTTAAACTTCAATGGAACTTATTAATTTTCAAAAACAAAGTAGAGGTAAAAACGAACTAGTGTTGATTTAACAAATATTCTTTTGCAAAACATTTACTATACTCAGAAATTTACCACATAAACTGAGTTCTATTATCTTAAAACGAACAAAAAGTATATTATGACTTTAATTTCAGTGTTTGATACACATGGAATATATATTTTAGTCAAATATTCAGATTACGCAACTGAAATATAACTGCAAATAATGAATACATAGGAACTTAATTATTTGATACTAATGCAGTTATTTTTTTAGTTTTGTTTGATATATAAAATGCGGAAAATTATGGATGATCAATAAATATTTTTTTATGGAATTATTTCATATGGAAAATATATCAATTTTTTAATAATCTGCTACATTTTTATAATGGTTATAATGATCAAAATGTATGAAAACTGGAGTCTACCTACATAAAAATGAGAAAAATCCACTATAGAGGCATAGACCAAACATAACATGATGATTTTATTAAATGATATTTTCATTTTAAATGTATTTTTAGTTAACCATAATAATATTAACATACTTGTTTTTCAAGAAGTGCAGTTGCGGCATGTTTCTTTTCCTCTACTAATCCTTCAGCCTTTGCTGAAATATTTTTCATCGCTATAAAATAAAAACATAAATAAGTTTGATGGATTCAATTGCTGGATGATTGATGAGTATATTAATTATAATGAAACGTGGTTTGTTTGTAAACAGCCATGTTTCGCAATTAAGTGAAGTTTCGAAATCAGATACCTGGACATGTTCTGAACTATATACTATGTCACCTTCGTGAATATTATATTTCAAATTTTACTTCGCCACAATAATCGACTTAAACGAAGATAAAATACACATTTTTAACGAGTCATTGTTACCAATAGGTACTAGGTAGGTAGGTAAGTACAAGAGTCCCGTTAAACGCTGATGCGTAAATAATTACTAGGTACTTTTAAGATGTAAAAAGATAATTTAATTCTATCTAATGGTCCAAAGACACCTACATAAAACGATCCGTCTTGCTCGAGCACTGTCATTATTAAACTTTATAAGCATGTGTAGGAATAAGTACTCTTCAGCTGTAAAATATTGTTCACTGTTTTTCAAACAAAAGAGTTCACAGAGTTTTTTTTTAATAATATCAAGTCTGTTACTGTGTATTTAAGGTTTGCACAAGCATACAAAAAAAAAATTCAAGAATAAATATGTAATAATCACCTATAATCTGCTACATTCGTCTATTTCACATTATACGATAGGTACTATTAAAACGTTCAGTGTAGGTACACTCAAATTATGCGAAAAAACCTGTTTTAATAAAGTCGTTATTTCGGATTCCACGAGAATAACGTCAAATGTTTAATCGACGAATGCCAGCAGCTGCACCTAAAGGTTTAGACCATGCAGCGTTTTATTAAAATCGAATTGAATATTATTTTCGCCACAAATGCCGGTGAAATGCAATCGCGCAAATTCCGGTGGATTGCGAGGACGAATAATAATAATAATGATTCTAATATAAAAAGTTAATTTCCTGTTGGAGCACCGACGACACCAACGCTGCTGACAGCAAGGCCGTATACGCGAAGATGTTGCTACATTGGGCATGAAATGTAATTCTAAAAGCCTGCTCCTATAATAAATACATATATATATATTGTGTGCATAAATATGGTGGCGCCATTATAATACGATCATTTTGTACTAGCACATATATTATTATTGTATACGTAATATCGTACACACATATATATATATATAATATCTATATATCTATTATACGTGCCATCTATTTATACGACTAACCACTACATGACGTCAAATTTGAATATTAATATACGTTTCTATCGCGAAGCCAATTTTTTAAAATCTTCGGGTTTGAACGCTGTTTAGACTTACGAAAATACGCGCGCGCCCGTGTGTGTTTGCGCGTAAGGAATTCTGCTAGAAAAAATAACGCGTTGGGCTCAAGGACTACAGAGAAATGTGTTAATTTCGTTTATTCGAAATTGTTTAAAAGCGGGGCATAGTCTCGAGTAAAACTCATATTATGACATTTGCAGTGTTCGATGCACTTCGATCTGCGGTCGACGTGTTGCGAGCATCATTTGTTATTACAGTGATTATTGTGATTTATTGCGGACCGTGATTTTGTCTCTGTGGGCTTATATTTAAGCCGGTCGGTCTCGTAAAAAATCATAATAAAACCGCAATAAAGTACACCGTCGCGTTCGGTTCGACCGGTTTTCGACGAGATCGTGACGATTCGCGCGACGCCCGCACAAAGAGACGCAATAAATAAGACGCATTTTTGTGATGTCGCAAGATGACGCACTATCGTCGCGCATTTATCCATCGATGTCCACCCACCGGTAGGTAAATCGTCGTGAAATCAGAACCGTCGGACGTGTTACTGCATTACCGACACGCGCTTCTGACGATTTCGCGATTTTCGACGAGAAGCAATAATGCAGCACCCTGCCGGCGGCGTATGTTAGGTGTGACGATTTGTACCGATCACGCGAGGGTGTTTAGACACGATCGATAAATCGACGACAAAATATAACGGTACGATCATTTAATGCATACAATGGAAACGTGAAAAAACCGTAAAAAATTTGCAAAATGTGTACACTCACCTCCTCCCAAGTTAAACATGTTGGACGTGAATTCGATAAGCCGCTCGAGTACAGTTTACAACGATAATATGATATTTTACAGCACGATATAATATTTGCGGCGATGTATTTAACGATTGGCCGTTTTCTTTTCTCGTAAATATACAGTGCGCGTGCTGTTGCGACGACGGTACGCTCGACAATGTCCGTCCAAATATAACAGACTTGTAGTTAAATATCCGGGGCCGCTGGCGGGTGTTCTCTCGTGACCTTGGTTACTCGAGCGCGCGCCGCCGCCGCCGCCTCCGCCACCGCCGCCACCGCCGCCACCGCCGCCATTGCGCCGCCAAAACACAAAATCGATAAATCGCCGCCTCGTATAGGTACCTCCGTAACACCATATATTATGTATTATATTTTATTATTATATTTTGTGCGTGCACATCTGAAAATATGCACACGCGTAAATGATGTTTTTATTATATGTTATTCTTCCGCTCCAGCGTTTCGGCACCGATCGTAATGCGCATTAGCGAAACTATATATACATCAGATAATATTATGTAATGATAATATCGTATATAGGAAACGACCAGAGGTTAACACTCAGCCCCTCCCCTCCCCTCAACGATCTTCAGCAGACGCGTTTGTCGGGAGATCGTTTGTGACGTCTATATATTATAAGATAATATATAATATCATAAAATGGTCCATTGATTGCACATAATATTTTGTATTATTAAACACTCTTCTTTGTCCGGACACGCGCGCTTATACGTTCGACCATGATGCAGATGTGTAGCCAGGAGTGGGGAAGGGGGTTAGGTTAGGTTAGGTTAGGTTTGTTATTTTATCGTACAGCCATAATGTTTAATGGTCCAGAGTTCGGTACTTATTTCACTAAAAGTGCGATCGAAAAATGCAAGTGAAATTACTGAAAAATGTGGATATCTTTAGTTAGGTATTTATATAAACTTTTGAAATTCCCAATTTTGTTCCCGACTTTTCTTTCGTTTAAGTAGATTTCTGCTTCCGAGTGGCCACACAATTTAATCCAAGGTTTCCAAAAGTTTTACTTGCAGCAATTTAAAATATGAAAAATGTATCACCGACAATTTGTTTTCATAGGCATTATTTCATATTTGATATTATACCTATATGTTTCAAATCTGATATTTTTACGAATGATGTCGATTTTTCCCTCAAACGATTTTAGTCGTTTTGTTGTAATTCAAAAAACATTTATCTTAGACGCCTGGTACTTTCCACCATTATGTATTTATGTTTAGTGTAATGCTCTACATACACGAAGAAAAGACTAGGCTCTTTGCAATGGGGTAGCCCGTTAGCGAATTACTCGTTATTTTTCCAAACAGCCTGCTGTTTTTTAGGCTCATTGCATACAGACTAAGAGCAGTTAGGCCTTTTAAGGACTACAATCATAATAACCATTTAAATTACATTATTTTAAGGGTTGTTAATAATAACACAGTGCATTATAGTATGTATATATAACTACTATATATTACTAACCAAAAAAAAAATATGTAAAATATTAAATTAAATTAAATTAAACTGCAATATTACAAAAAATATTACATTACAATAATAAATATTATATAAATTATTGACTTATTGCTACACGTAGTTTTTTCGTGACATCTTGAGCTACACAGTACATTGTTTTTGAGACAAGCGCATCTATTTGTTTTGCTGCACGATGTTTTGCAAAAACATTTTTGATAACCCTGTCCTCCAAATTGAGAATGTCTCTCGATATTTCTCTTAATGTTAACATTGTATATGGTACTTCATCAAGAAATTCTGCATCGGTTGTCTGTAGAACATTTCTGCTTAACCACGTATTTATAATTATTAGGTATACGTCGTCAATCTGTATCTAAATCCTTAAAATAGCCGGTTGTAATGTACCTACTAATGTAGGTAAAAACCAAAAATTTGAAATGTATACGATTGATATGATTTTATAAATAGTTACGCTATCGATACAGTTTATGAGTAGAAACTAGGAAGTTATGTTATAGTCATTAAAAAAGAAGATCGTGGACCATTAGATATTCAAAATATAATATGGGCAAAGTCGTAGGCAAAAAAAATATTTTACATATTTTTTTTAGTTAGTAATATATAACAGTTATATACATACAATGTACTGTGTTATTGTTAATAACCCTTAAAATAATATAATTTGAATTGTTATTATGATAAATTATAGTCCTTAAAAGGCCTAACTGCTGTTAGTCTGTATGCAATGAGCCTAAAAAACAGCAGACTGTTTGGAAAAATAATAAGTAATTTGCAAACGGGCTATCCCATTGCAAAGAGCTTAGTCTTTTTGCAAAAAAACTAATTCCCATATGGCCTACGCCATATATATTACTATCGTTCGATTCAAATTTAACACTTTCATCGGGTACAGTTATTATTACCGTCTGGTTAAATTACCGAGGCATACCCTCGATACTGTCTTTACCTACAAGAGAACGAGGCTTCTCTGTATATTTTTTTAAAACCATATACGATATATTATATTATTATGGTATTATTATATTTTACGTTGTATAGACTCGTATAACATACTTGCATATACCTACAGTCGTGTATGCAATGGCATGGTTAACATATATAATTAGATAAGTCTAAATCACGTGCACCACTATCCCGGGGCATTGATAAAAATAAATCGGGGGAGGGGAGTATCTTTTTTATGTATTGTAACTTATTATATACATATAGTATACAGTAACCAGCAGGTTGTAGGCACGCAATGTATATTTGTGTTTTTTAACATAGTCCATAGGGGTCCCTAATACACGAATACTTGATAATAATAATATAATGGATAGTAACTAGTAATTGCAGTATAAAATAACGTTTTGCTCTCCCCGTCCAGCAAAAATACTAGGGCCGTATTTAGGGGGGGAGCATGGGGACATTTGCCCCGGGCGGCCAAATATTGATCTATTTAGGGGGTGGCCGGGCCCCCCGCGGTAACTCGGTGTAGTATTGTAACAATAAATATTTTTGTTTTTGGAAAAAATGTGTGCTATGACTCGAGCCTTGTGAACTTAACAGTGCAACGATAACGGATAAGTGCTGGCGCCTAGCACAGAATATAATTAATATTATTTAAACATAACCACGGTTGCAGATAGTCAACCATGACTTAATCATAAATAATTATAACTAAAAATGTGTTAAGAAAAATCAAAAAGCGGATTTATTCTTTGGCTGGGGGGGGGGGGCGTAAAATTACGGTCGAACCAGGGCGCAAAAATTGTAAATACGGCCCTGAGTCCATCACTCACCACGCCCCTGGGTTGGTTATGGAAGTACCTAAACCTTACGGTGAGCATGTACACAATATTGCGTCATAATTATTATATGCACGAGACGCAACACTCGTATATATATATATATTCTGATGTACAGATTATGCGTATACTGTGTATATTTTTCGAGATATTTTCCCCGTCAAGTGTAGGTGTTTCACCACCTTCGTAATTCTGCACGCGTAGATATATAATATGTATAATACGATATGTACATCCGAGAATATTGGATAACAGTACGTCCGCCGAACGGTCAATCTACGACGCAGGTGACCGTGTGCGTATGTTGTATGTATTTTAATATATATATATGTATGTATGCATAATATATGTACCTACAGTATATCGATGACGACGACCTCGTTCGTATAGAATATACACGTATTATAATGACATGCAGTGGAATCATCGTTTTGAACAGAAGAACGAAAACGACGATATTTTTTTTATGATTGTGAAAACGATACTATAGTCGCAGGTAAAAAAATATAACTGCACACGACTCTATAATATATAATCTGCAGTCGACGATGGTATGATTAAAATGGATATTGTTGAATTGGCGCAATCGGCGACACATGTAACAATAGCTCGTAGGTGTCGATTTTTATTATTTTAGCAGATGAAAATATAGAGCACCACGCATGTGTACTATATACTGTTTGTTGTACATCATTGGCAGTGCTTGAATCGATGCGGGTGACAGGACGGACGGATTCACTCTAATGTTTTTATTTTAAATATATATATATATATATATAATTATATATATATATTTTTAGACCGCCTCTAGTCACTACCAATTGGTGATTATTTTTATCAGAACGGGAGACATTTATGTAACTTTTAATTTCCTAAAATTGTATTGAATACGATTACAACTTATTTTTTTTATGACAGTGAACTGTAAACAGAATACACGGAGTTATTAATATAATTCTAGTTTTTAAATTATAAATTAACATTCAACTAATAAATTTAAATTATTTTAAGCAATGCGAATAAATGACAATATCAGAGGCGTATGCAGAGGGAAAGGGTTAGGGGGTTGTAACCCCCGAACCAAAAAAAATTCTGGATACGCCACTGGACAATGTTGTCAAACATATTTATTCGAATACTTTATAAGTATAGTAATCACTGCCACTTACTGGCATATTCTTATATACTTCAACTATTTTTTGACGATTGGCGGTTGGGGTGTGTTGGAGGCTTCGTCACAAACAAGTTAGGATGAGTTTAACCATTTCAAGTCTAACAGTCCACTTTCTATCATTTTTACAATTATTCGAACATTGAATTCATTCGCGCAACTATGGTAAAAATGCTGGTGGAAGGGCAGATTAAGTCTCATTAAAAATTTAACTCAAGTAAACAGGTAAAGCTCCCACCCCTCTCCCTAACTAACCAACATTTGAAAATAATTTACAATGTATGCACTGCGCTTCGAAAATTAATAAATGCTCCCCCTTACATATCGAACCATACTCTCTACACAGACTTGAAATTAAAAACAATAGATGAAAAAGCCAAACACTTTTATAAAAAGTTCCAGAATCGTCTCTTCTCCCACTCAAATCCTTTAATTAAAATCCTTTCCTCCCTCACAATCCCTGGCAGTCCTCCTAGACGCTTAAAACGTAAATGGTGCAGAGACCTTTTACAAATTTTAATGTAGAAACAATAAAAAAAAAAAATGTTAGTTAAATAATTTCACAATTAAAAAATAAAATAAAATAAAAAGCCAACATTAAAGTGTCATCATTTTGTGGCTTCTTAAATCACTGTATTCTCTTTTGTATACTCATGTTATATGTCTTTTAACTTACATACTAGTTATGTCTTATGATATAGATTGTGTACTTCGACTTAAAATAA